CTGAATGACTGTGGTCGTTAAAGTCACGCTGCTATCACTATATGGGAAAATTTGACTTAATATAATGAATTCAAGAGAACAAGTATTACCATCCTGAAGACAGTGGGTCACTACGAATTCTGCTTTATATATATATATATATATATATATATATATATATATATATATATATATATATATATATAAACATTGGAAGATAAGTTCGAAGAAATAATTATAGTTATCACTTGAAAATCAATTAGTTTTATCTTCGATCCTACTCAAAACACCATATCTTTCAGAATAATGCAGTTTATCAGACCATTTTATCAAGTGTAGAGCTATGAAACAAAAGCTAGTTGTTCAGTGTTTTTATTTTAACCTGAATTACAAAATTTACTACAAGTTTATACCATCTATACAAACAACTGACACAACTACACTTTCAGATAACTTGTTGTTGCTACCTTGACGTGGTGGTCGGGCTTGTCTATCGTGATGAAGCAACTGAGCTATACTGGCTGGAACACACACTCTTTCTTCTATATATTACCACCACTGAATTAACTACTTCTATGAATCCGGTGTTCATCTTGTTGTGCTAATGCGGTATGGCAACTTGGACCGATGCATATACGTGCCTGGTCCTAGGTTGCAGCTGACTGACTGACTGACTGACTGAAACTTTTACTATGGTAACAATAACTTAAACAAGTTATTTTTTACCAGGTACTAAGATGTAAAGATAACAATATGCATAAACAACTTGGTTGAAAACGATCCATCCAAACTCTTATCCTTTTTGGCCTTAATTCCTTTCTATGGTATGTTTTGGTTTCGTTTTTTCTTAAATTGTAATTTTAAACCGTAATCAGTTACTATTATCCATTGACAATCTTTCGTGATCATTATTCAGTTGTTATCATGACGTTTACGTTTTTCATTTTCTTTCCTTCAGATTGGTTAAACGGACAATTATCTCTCATAATTCTGACCCGTAACTTATACTCGTTCCCTTATTCTTCTCTAACCCCCTGATTATTACGCAACCTCATTTGATAAGTGGAGTCTCGAATCACTTTATGATGTAATTTCTTCTATCTTTTTATAGACTTATATATTTACCTATGAATAAGAATGTACTATGTTAATGAAAATCCCCATTTTGACATTTGCGGAATAATAATAATGGTAAGTGATGCTATGTAGGAAATTGTGACGCAAAAGTTATAAAAAAAGCGGTATGAAAAAACATTTAACGCAGTCAGACGGACTGTCGTCTTCTACAATCGTTTATAATGAAAGATTGCCTGGATTCGCCACATCCATCTGTATTTACCAATTCAACTATTCCTGTGGAGGCAGTTCTATAGGGCGTACAATTCGGCAAGTCCGTCATTGCATAACAGAACACCATCCATCTTAGTTAAGCAAAAGAGAAGTAAGAGTGATTAAGAGTTCTCTTATCGCTCACTTGGTGGACGCAGGTCATCATATTAAATTGAATAAAGCCTATAAGATTATCCACGATATTCCATCAAATTTATCACAGAGTTTACGAGTTCGTCTTCTGCACATTGTTGAAGCCATTGAAATCTATGTTCACAAACCAAACCTTTGCATTTAAATGAAGTTTATACAACCACTCTCGATACTCTGACCATCGGTGTAGGAATATGTTTGTAACAGAACTTTGATAAACTATTTTCGTATTCCTTCCACTTCTTGTATTTTATTTATTCTCGACCTTCGTCCCTTCAATCTTGCATAAATACTATATTAAGTAAACGATTCCGTCGAACAGAAAATTTTCTTCATTGAATCCTCCTTACTTGTATTCAACGACACAATGGATGAATTAATTTTAATTTAGAAAGTAAAATATTGTGAAACTATTCGTTCGAATTTAGACGAAATTTCTTATTTAAAATAAACCTTGGTTCACATAAAATAAGTGTTCTTATCAGTGGAGTCGTTAAACCAAACCGAACTCAGATATTTTTTTGTCTCCAGGTGAAACAACGAGTAAAAATTGGTAATGTTTGTTGGTTCGATTTTGAATGTTTGCTCATTTCCCTGTAATATATCTATGTAAGCAGATAAATATTCATAAATTTTGTAATGCTTTGAAATGTTTGACTAGATATTTTGAATAAAAGACAAAGTTTGTCAATATGTATACTGTCAGTCTCGCGCGCGAACGCTTAACCTCTAGATCACTGACCTGGTATCCAACGGTGTTAATTTCTTAGTTCAACCAACCCACGAAATCGAGTCCAAAAGTTCGAATTTCGTAGGGCGGGACCGTGGATGCGCACTGCTGAGTCCCATACTAGGTCGAAACGGCCGTCCAATGCTTCCAGGCTTTCTATGGTGGTCTAGCTTCAATTTACTTATTAATTCAACTATAAAGTTACTAAAATCTCCACAAACCCCCTTCTGATATATATATATATATATTAGTGTAGAACTATGATGGACTGGTCGACTAGACCATCCAGCTCAGAGAACAAAACAATTGCCGAAACAAAATTTTCCGAGTTCCTATATATATATATATATATATATATATATATATATATATATATATATATATATATATATTGAGCCTTTGTAACTGTTTATGACTTCATACATTTTAATTTTAGAGAATGGAGTATATACTCTATTAGACAAAGATCTACTTTAACATTCAATGAAATTCATTTGGTTTAATTTATCCTTTTTTCTATAGTAGTTAACAATCATGTTAGATCTGTGTAGAAATTTGCATATTGCTTTTCTTAGTATTTATTTCTGAAAAAACAAATAAATATTTGATTTGTACTCATACTTGTATATCATTGAGAGAAAATTCTTTAGTGGAATATATTTAACGGTCAAACATAACTCTAACAAGTGATGGATATATTCATAATTCTTAAATTAATTCTTCACTATGTTGCTAATTCACAATTGTGTCGTTAATTATTTTCTTAGAAACTTTTCAATAACTCCTATGTAATGTATTTACTTATTTCGCATATAAATGCTTGCGGATTTATATATTTTTAATGATGTAAGAGAATTTTTCCAATATTGTGTTCCAAGAATTCTAAATTGTAATAACCATATAACATAATATCAGAAGGGGTTTTGTGGAGATTGTAGTAATTTCAATGGTTAGATCATGAGTCAGTTGAAGCTAGACCACCAAGGAAAGCCTGGAAGCACTGGACAGACATTTCGTCCTATTATAGGAATCCGCAGCAGTGCACATCCACGACCTCGCCCCCTGCGAGATTCGAACCCAGGATCTACTGGTTTCGCGCCCGAGCGAATAGAATCTAAAAACATTCTCAAGAAAATTTACTACTGAACTTTTGATTGAGATCATGAACCAATCGATGTTAGACTACCGTTGAAAACCTGGGAGCAATGGATGATCGTTTCGTTCTAATGTGAGACTCCTCAGCAGTGCGCATCTACGATCCCGTTCGCGGAATTCGGACTTAGAGCCTTCAGTCTCGCGCTCGAACGCTTATCCTACTGGAACACCAGGCCGTCATCCAATGGTGTTAGGGTCTAACATCACCCAATTCACGAAATTGCTAAGGAGTCCCACAATAGGACGAAATGTCCGTCCAGTGCTTCCAGGTTTCCAAAGGTGGTCTAACATCAGTGGGTTCATGATCTCAATCAAAATCTTAACAATTTCCACAACCCCTATACTGATATTGAACGTTTAACTGTCAAGTGACCACTTTTTCGTAATTGTTTATAAATTTATATTCATTGCATAGTTAAGAAGGTTAATAAGAGTTCTTTGAATAATTGAAGTATGTCAGAGAGAAAAAATTGCAAAGCTTCTGAATCATGTACAAAAACGAATCATAAATTACATCGTTCTTATTCTCAATCCTTTTTGTTCAATGATTATAGATATATATTGCAATCTATGTAAGACATATTTTAATGGTATTTCCAGTAAACAGTTACAGTGTCATTAAAAAATAAAAAACTAACAAACAGCAGTAAGCAAACTTCTGCATAAATACAAAAAAATTTTAAGGTGCAGCGAAAGAATATTTATTGAGTTTGTCATTATCCCGAAGGAGAGCCGTATTAAATTTTTGTGATATTGTCCTCCCCGTTGTCCAGTGCCTCTTGAGTTTCGATCTCATCTTGGCGACCAGCAAGTGATGATCTGATGCTATATCAGCTCCTCTTTTGGTTCTCACGTCCTCGATCGTCCTCCTGAACTTTTTGTTGATGCAGATATGGTCAATTCGGTTTTGCGTAGTGTGATCCGGTGAAGTCCATGTGGTTTTGTGAATGCGTTTATGTGGGAATATAGTCCCGCCTATGACCAGTTTATTGAAGGCACATAGATTTACAAATCTCTCACCATTTTCGTTCCTTTCTCCGAGTCCGTGTCGTCCAATGATCTGTTCATATCCGGTGTTGTCAATTCCAACCTTGGTATTTAGGTCTCCCACCAGAATAGTCAGGTCTTTTGTTGGGCACTTCTCGATGATTGACTGCAGCCTATCGTAGAATTGATCTTTAGCGTCTTCGTTGTAGTCATTGGTAGGCGCGTAGCATTGGATGACGTTCATTGTAATGCCCTTTTTCTTTGTTTTGAAGGAGGCTTTGATGATCCTTAGTCCATGAGATTCCCATCCTATAAGTGCATTTTGTGCTTGTTTGGACAGCATCAATGCAACTCCTTGTGTATGTGGTGCATTTTCTTGTTCATGTCCGGAGTATAACAGCAGCTTCCCTGAAGCTAGACCCCATGCCCAACCCTGCTTTTTTATCCGGGCTTGGGACCGGCAGTAACCCTAAATGATCAACAGGCGTTCTTTTCGTGAAATAAAATACAAGAACCACATGCAAAATTCTCTACAGATTTATATTATTTTTTTAATAAACTCTGCTGACAACTTCATAGGAATTCAGTTTATTTAGCCTTACGTATTTGGAGGAATTTTCGAAATATTTTTCACCTAGTTGTATGTTTGTTATAATTAACTTTATAGGTGTAGGATTTTTGCTGGATCCACAGCTATGGAATAGTTTCTATCCAATCGCGCTACTAAACTATTCTTTGGTGCACAAGTTAAGGTACAAAAGCGATTCATGGACAGAATACAAGAGTGATAATTGTCTCAGAGAGTTTCTTTACAAGACAGTGTGAGTTTCAATAAATTTTGTTTTTGTAATTTTAATCTGTAGCAATATTTTAGAATCGTTGATCTTCTGACTTTATTTTTTATCACTATTTTAACTGAATAGTGATTGATATGAATCAAAATATGAAACCTCATTTGTCATAGGGAATACTCGTTTACAATTTAAGAAATTGTAACATACTGTCAATCTTTTCAAGTACAACAGCTTGGTTACTTTCGCTGATAAGTTTCTAATTCACACCGATATCAAGATATGCATACGAATTATTGATATTCTTGTATAAGACTTTTTAATTCAATCATCTTGTTGCATAAGGAAATATATAGCTTCAGACATTCCATTTTCATCAAAGTTCACATTACTTTTGACCTTAACATCTGTAAAGTATAGGATAAAACTACAAAATTTCTGTATGAAAACCTAATTCAAAGGCCAAAAATACTTTTGAATGACCGTTAACATCACTGTGAACGACGGCAATGATGAAGCATAACTCCTCAGTTAACTTCACACCTTACACTCAGGCTGACTACATCGTACAATTATTTTAGTAAAACAACCTAGATACAAAACGTCCTGGAAGAATTTATTTGAGGTATTCACCTATAAGCGGACACAGTAAGAGTGAATAGTTGAATCTTGGAGGTCGGCTTTCACGCCAACTCCATGAAATAAGTTTATGTCTAAGATTATATATGTGAAAATAAACAAAAATCATATATATATATATATATATATATATATATATATATATATATATATATATATATACGGATGACTAGAAAGTCTCTCGACTCACTGTAAGCTACATGTTCAGGGAGTAAATCCTTCTAACGAAGTTAATTTGTTTTAGCTGAGATAGTCTAGCCTTTTACTGTCAGTCAATCTATTGTCAAATCTTACATATTTTACTCATGGCAACTACTTACCTAAGTGACAACGGACACCGTAGGCTAGGGATATATGCTTCTCAGTAACTCAAATTAGCTCTAATAACATTTTTGGTTTGATAAGTTTCATGATTTCACCATTCTTTCGCAGAAACGTAAGTTATTTATATTTCCGAATATATTAATTAGAATGAAGCGTCTAGTACTACGTCAGGCCCATGTGGGCTATTCTAGCTTCCAGACAGTCTGATTTATTTATTCATCTTCAGTCTCATTTTGAACTTGTCAATCATTCGCTTATAACCCTGAATGAGAAGGTGGAAAAGATTTGTAGCCCAGGTGGATGATATTGGTGGAGTTTTGTTCTCTAAGCTGGATGGTTTGGTCACGGAGCCTTCATCGTTATTCTAAACGACATTATCTGGTGTATTTAGAATTGTCTCTTTCCAAGATTCTAATATTTTTCAGTCGAATGTGCGTCTACTGTAGTCCACATGAATTGACATAAGTGAGGATATGTCATGGCGTTTGACCGCTAATTGATGTTCATTCATGCAAAGATGAAGAGGGTTTTCGCTTCGTCCGATGTAGTGATTTTCACAGTTGGAACGATTTATTTTGTAGATGATGTTTTTTCTTCTTTTGTCATTTCGTCCTTTGGTTTGCATAGGATTGAGTGAAGTAGTCGCTTCAAATATTGAGATCTTGGATAGAGAGAATTCTAAAACACCAGAGAATTTTTAGATGCTTGTCACTCAGGTCAATCAACAAACACATTAAAATAGATCCAATTTATCAACCACTGAAAAATAATATGGACAAATATCGGACCAAAAATCAAGTCAGTGGGAGATGCAATCAAAATAATGAAGTAAACAATGACAGGTCAACGGTCAATAATAACCAGTCAAGATCGATGTCGATGAGACAAGCTGTGAGCTATATTTTGAGGAATTCTAACACTTCACTTGTACTTGCAGTTTGTGCGGACGATGTCGTTCAGAATAACGATGAAGACTATATGACCAGTTCAGAGAGCAAAACTCCATCAAAATATAACCTTGACTGTTTTTTTATAAATTTATATGTATCATTTGTTAACCCCATTCATCACATGTCTTTAGCTTATCTTTGTCTGGCTATAGACGTTGAGTCACGCTTGATCAAATCCAGTTGACATGTTTACCTCCTCTGGTCTGTTTTTCCGCTTCGTTTATTTGGTTTTCTGTCTGGATCAACGGGTGTATGAAATATACGTATCTAAAATTCATTCTCGTATTTATCTAGATATTCTCAAACGCAAATTAAGTCAATAGTTATGTATGACTGTAGGTAGTATCTGTATTTCGTTAATATCATCATACGATCAAACCGGTGAATGAGGGGCAAAAAGAAGAACAAGTGATAAAGTGCAATTTTTCGGTCAATTTATCATACAATCGTAATTCAAACCTATCGCCACGAACACAATCAGTAATAAGTGTAGAACAAAATATGTGGATTCATTTTATTTGCTATCTTCACCTTATTCCCAGTCAGAAATACTTATACTATAATTATATGTATTATTAGTAGTTAATTACACCCGCATACCAGGATGAGTTTAACAAGTATATCATATTTCTAGTGAACATGTCTAAAATATAACTTTACATAGAGTTCAAATATGCCAGATGTGAGACAGTTATCCACAGCAGACCATGAAACATGGTCTCACAATATCGTGAATTGATTGGAGTTAGAGATGTATATCACTAGATACTGGATCAGTGGTCAAGAGGTTAGAGGCTTGGACATGAGATCAATGGTCCTGGGTTCGACTTATGGTTTAACCGTAAATACACACTTGACGAAATAGCTGTTGAGTACTTCCACATTTTTGACGAATATTTTATTATTATCAGTTCACGGAATAAACTATTAATATATAGATAATTCAAAACTTTATATGTTCGTCTGCTCTTTTAAAATGAAATGGTTTATTATTAATACTACCTTCTGTTTAAATCATATAAGAGAAAATAATGTATTTGCACAGAAAGAAAAATTAAATATGAAGCGAAATCTCCATTTAACAAACTCATCAAACAGATGATTTACCACGTAAATCTGTTAGTAAAGACAAAGTTTCAGCTCAACTAGTAAACATTCTTGAAGCTATCTATCATGATAACGAAAAACTAGAAAAATTCAACTGAACCTCACATATCATTACCAACTAGATGAATGCAAATGTCTACACATTATTCAGTTGTTATCGGTCACGTAGTTTACCATCATAAATTACCATATTCAAACTTTTGTTAAATTTGTTTGACAATTTTTTTAGTGATTTCTGTAAAATTTCGAAGCAATGCTGGAAGTCAGCTACTGATTACAGTGAAACTGAATATGGTCTTACACACCAGGTATTTTATTTTATGATTGGAAAACAGGTGAGAATATGTTCATACATGTATGTATACTATTGTTACTAATAACAATATCTAATCAATCTCAATAAACATTGAGAGACGTTTCGGATACAGTAATTATCTCATATATAATATATTTATAGAAAGCCATGATATTCTGAATCAAACATTTAAGCTTTGACCTTTCGGCTAAAAATAGAAAGGGAACAATGAAACCTTGGTTTTTTAAAGAACACAGTAATTCTGACCATATTCAACGAAATTTAACAAATGCTAACTTGTTATAAGTAGATTTGTGTGAGTTTGATTGATTCATGTGGGTTTTTCAACTTCAGAGTAAATGATATTAGCTGCAAAACTACTGAAAATTGAACAAGGGTTTACATAGATCGTGTTATAGTTTAATTCACATCACTGATGCTTGCTGACAACTACACAAACGGTTGAAATCAGGATTATTAAGATTTTTTATTTTGACTTCTTCATTTTCTCACATACAATCATCCAAGACTTTAACAAAATTACTTGATTTATACTCAGTCTGTGTTGCAGTAATCTTATATCGAATTAATTCAAGAGTTTGTTGTTTTTATATACCGAATACTAAGAGTTTTTCATTTTTCATTTTCACATATCTTGTAACGAAGACTAATTGTAGTGAAACATTGGATTATCTTCTGAAATTCAATCAACCTGGAATGAATACTGAAGAATATTTACAACAGTTATGTACAAACGTTGCAGTTGAAGCTCAAATTATTGCCAGTAAAAATTTTCCAACTGATTTAAGGGACCTGTTCATGGAACAAGGTTTGTTTTCATGTTATTGTGTATTGATGACTAGTTTGAGTTTCAGTTGAGAGAAAATTCCCATTTAAATCAAGCAGTAGCGTTACATAATTTTGTAGTCTCACAAGTGAATATGAAAATAGTGTCAAATGATTAAAAGGAGGATGTAGTAATTATAGTTAAAAAAGTAATTACTTGTAAAAATCAAAAAACATGTAACTTAATGGTTGCCAGACTAGTAATAATGTAGAAAAAATATTTGAGCAAAAGTCAATTTTATGATTTTTGTGTAAAAGTCAAGAGACGACTATCGAAACTGTGTAGAAACTCAAAAGGTGAAAGAAATTGGATTGTTTAATAGCATGAAGTGAATCAAAGTTGAATTATGAGCTACTCATACTGAGAGTAGTGTAATGCCTCTGTAGTTTTCACACTTGCTCAGATCTCCTTTCTTTGGAATCTTGATGAGGTGTCCTTCTTTCCAATCCATCGGCACTTGTTCCTCCTCCCAAATCTTCTTGAATAGAAGGTGAAGCATGTTTGTAGTTACTTCGATGTCTGACTTCAGTGCTTCAGCTGGTATATTGTCGGGTCCTGCTGCTCTCCCGCTCTTGATTTGTCTTATAGCCATCCTGATTTCTTCGGTGGTTGGTGGGTTGACATCTATGGGAAGATCTGTGTGTGTTGCCTCGATGTTCGGTGGATTCATTGGAGCCAGCTTATTCGGGAGTTCCTCGAAGTACTCTGCCCATCTGTTCCTCTGTTGTTGAATTTTAGTGATTGGCCTGCCTTCTTTGTCTTTGACCGGTCTCTCTGGTTTACTATACTTCCCTGCTAGTTTCTTCGTTGTATCATAACGCTGTTTCATATTTCCTTCTCTTGCAGCTTTTCCTGCTGTCGCTGCTAGTTCTTCCACGTATTTCTGCTTGTCGGTTCTAATGCTCTTCGTCACTTGCTTGTTTGCTTCTATGTACTCAGCCTGTGCTTGGATTTTCTCTGCTCGTCTTCGGCTGTTGTTAATTGCTGTCTTCTTGTTCTTCCTTTTTTTGATCCTGTCCAGTGTTTCTATAGAGATCCATTCCTTATGATGATACTTCTTGAGGCCCGTAACCTCTTGACACATTGAAGTTAGTGCTTATTTGATACGTTTCCAGTTGTCCTCCATAGTAATTCCTTCTTCCTTCATTAGGTTCTGTAAGGCTTGAAACTTGTTGTTGTGAGCTATCTTGAGTTCGTTGAAGTTGTTAGTATCTCGAAGGAAGGCTGTATTGAACCTTTGTAGTGCTGTTTGTCCAGGTGTCCAGTTCTTCTTCAGCTTCAGTTTTAAATTGGCCACAACCAGGTGATGATCTGAAGCTATATCCGCTCCTCTCCTGGTTCTCACATCTTCCATTGTCCTTCGAACCTTTTTATTGGTGCATATATGATCTATCTGGTTCTCTGTGGTGTGATCCGGTGAGATCCATGTAGCTTTGTGTTTATGTTTGTGTGGAAATATTGTGCCGCCTATGACCAATTTATTGAATGCACACAGATTTACAAATCTTTCCCCGTTTTCGTTTCTCTCTCCCAGTCCATGTAGTCCTATGATGTCTTCATATCTGGTGTTGTCCATTCCGACTTTGGCGTTTAGATCTCCCATCAGAATGGTGAGGTCCTTTCTTGGGCACTTCTCTATGATTGATTGCAGCCTCTCATGGAATTGATCTTTAACGTCGTCGTTGCTATCATTGGTGGGTGCATAACATTGGATAATGTTCATTGTGATCCCCTCCTTCTTTGTTTTGAATGATGCTTTGATGATTCTGGATCTGTGAGATTTCCATCCTACAAGTGCATTTCGTGCTACTTTGGACAGCATTAGAGCAACTCTCTAGGTGGAGTTTACACCCAACAAAGGATACTTTATTATCTTTCATATTATAAGTAGATTCAATTTTGTATCAATCAGATACGAAAATATTGAATTCTCCTTTAAACTGACAAATAAATTTCTGGTGAATAGTATTAATTGCAAGTTTTCGCTTTCTTTGTTATTTATTTTCAGTTGGATTTTGTGGTTTGGCAGGATTTTGGCAAATCTGTAAAATTGATTGGTTAATGAAAATTATTTCATGGCAAAATATCATGGGTTGTTATCATAAATTTGATACAGAAGAAATGAATCCAGAAAACTTTGATCCCAATGTATATGGACATTATAAACGTCGAAGACGTTCAGAACAACTTTTATCCGGAGGTCAACAAGCGTGTCTATCACATAGGACAAGTGTGGCAATGACAGCACTGAGTGGATATTTAAGATATTTAATTGAATTTCATTAGATGATAAAATCTATTTTTTGTGTTCAGAAACCATTAAACCAATTCAGAAGAGAATACTAGTTATTGTTTTCTATATGTAAATTAACTTTGAAAATTGTAATTTAGTAAAATGAACAACTAACTTTGAGTTACCGATATAACTTTTATTACCAAGTATTGTTCGAAACCAAGAATAATCAAACATCTGGGACTTTCTCAGTGCCCATAAACAATCAAGTCAGAGATAGAACTCAGGGCCCTCAGATGATTTACATCTCTAACCTCAGTCAGTTTTTGTTAACAGAAACTGCGAAAGAGAACAATACTAAGAATAAACAGCTAACAGGTGCCCCCTAATTTTTAGTGCTTATTTAGTTGAAGCCATTTTGTGATCCAAAACACAAATTTGTCAATTTCCTAAAATCTTCCATATTAATAATAATATTCACACATAAGTAATTTCAATAAGTTCGTCTCTAGGCTATATTGCTATAAATCAGTTGTTGTAATTAACCACATACGGTAACTGAATTGGTGTTCTTATTGAAATTAGTTGATCTCAAGTCAGTTTTGCTCAATATTCTGGGAAAATGTATCATTAGAAAATTCTCATCAATAGAATAGAATCATTTGATCATAAAACAAAATAAATTCTTTATAGTAGTTGTTATTGATAATAATTATAACTAAGCGGAATATTATGTGGACTAAGAAATATAAATATGAAATTAAGAACATTTCACAGAGAGGAATAGCGTTAAGGTACAAATAAAAATGGTTGGGGTGGAGGTAAGTTTATAATTTTTCACTAACAAGGTCAATTGGATCATGAATGTTACAACACTTGTGGACCAGAGTAAACACAGGGGTTGAATTTCTGTCTTTTGAAAATGCGTACATAAATTTGACTTTCTTGACATAATCCCCATATTTTCTTCTGTATAAAAGAGCCATAGTCTTGAGTCTTTTGGCAAATAATCCTTGACTTAGTATATAATTGTAAACAACCTCTTTTCTGATATGATGTTCACTATTTCTCATATGAGAAAGTTTGGTATTATTTATAGACTTGATGAACCATTTTTCCTAATCAACCCAGTACATGCTCTTCAGGACGTAAGAAAAAGGCTATCTAAGCACGTAACTAGCTTCACAGAAACAGTTAAATACATAGGTGCACATTAGTAAGATGTTCATTGGTAAATTATTCTTATATGATTAAATCCTTAAAGAATTGGTTTAGAAGTCGATGGGTAATTTAACGACAATGAACTTCATTTCGATAGGTGCATTAAAATATCACTAGCTATATCTCTTTTTAACTTAAGTATAAGATGTAAGGTTTTGTTACACACTACATCGTCTTGAACTTTGCATCGGACACGTACTTCTAATTTAAATATGATCGGATGCTCATTTTATAGTAACATTATCTTTAATTCCCCTAAATTTTGATCTACAATGTCTTCATTAACATGTAATTCGAATTATTTGACTGTCATCCGTTTTCTAAACCTTTTTTTTATCCTTCTGTTCTTACATTATATTATAAAGGACAAACAAAATAATAGATTTTGAGGTATGTGTACTCAATTGTCTGAGTGATTATTATATACAATACCGAGTAACTGACGCAAACCTGTAATGAACGAATAACTGGTCAGAAAAGTGTGTCCTTTTATCTTAAACAATAACGAACTCATGCTTAGAATATCTAACACAAAATAAGGATAATTAAAATTTATTTTAATCGCAAATATTTACTGGATTCAGATTCCATAGGTTGTTTACGAACTAATTGTTAGGTTTGAGGCTATCACTAATTCACGTAATCTGCGAACGAGAACGAGATTCGGTGACCAAGGACCAGTAAGCTAACTATTGATGCGTCCCAGCCCCAGCTATCTAGAGGGAGGAGTCCACGCTTGAAATGAGAAGTGTATTCTGTCACAACCAGAAAACTGAGCGAGTTTAGTAGAAAATACACTCGTTTATATATGGATTGCACACCCATTTTGATTAATAATTAGAATGAAATCACATACATGAAAAATACTCACAGTTATAACAAATCATATGCTGAGTATAGTTCATAGTCAATGGAATACAAGAATATTGTATATTATACAAAATAAAATATCATACGAGAAAGAAAACAAATACTACAATGCGTAATCATTACATTGAATCAACACGGACGTAATGATGAATGAAACTCATATTGAGTAAATCAATCGAATATTGACAAGCTCACTTATTTGCCCATCATATTACATAATTACTATGACTATTCATTTCTTTATTCGTTCAGATATGTTGTTCATATGTCATCCTTTAATAGAACATCTCAGTTTTGCTGCTAGTTATAATGTAATCTGTTGGATTTTTAAGTGTTGACTAACTGATATTTTCAGAATCGGGGGTTCTGGAGATTGTATTAATTTAATAGTTGAATTCATGAGCCGATTAAAGGTAGACCACCATGGAAAACCTGGTATTCAGTTAGTTTTTCATTATGGCTCTACATTAATATATATCTGATTTACAATAACGAAATAATACTCATCGAGTAGTTACATCACATAATAATTATATAATGATATATCGATCATAAAATAACATTGAGAGGATTATAATAATCAAAGTAATTATTCAGAAATCAAACAGTTACTATGCTACACAATATATAAAAAGAAGGGACTAATAAAATATTTTGATGAAAGGTCAATATTATAGTAGTTATGTAAGAATCAAGAGACGAATGTTGAGAATAGGTAAAATACAAAAGTGGGTGAAATTCGAAAACAGTTTAAATATTTTTAAAGGAGTGGGTTTCATCAAAGTTCTTAAGTTTATTGAAGCCTTGGCTATTCGTAAATTCAAACCCCCTTCCCACTCATGTGTACAAAATCAATTTGTCATAACCTTGAATTTATCTTGGTATTCCTTAAGTCAATCTACGGCCTAGGACAACTTGATAATTTCTTATTGTTTCTATACGATGTAAAATTGTTTCTCTCCCCTTTGTTACTTTTTACTCGAACTTTCATTTAATTGACCTTTATTAATTTTCATATGAAATGCCTTGACAAGTATATATGTGACCAGATTGTTCGAAATGTATAGCGCAAATATATCACATTTTTCAGATCAACTTTGTCTTCTCATTGTTCTATCGAAATTTATAAAAGGGACTAATTGCTTTAAGTTCGATCAAAATCATCCACATGAGCTACAAATCTTCTCCAGCATCTCAATATTTGAATTTTATTTCACTTAAAATATTTGATTGTATCATAATAGATAAATTAATTCACCTGTCGAAAACAGAAACACACAAAATCCTTCGTCATTATATCATCTTATTTTTAGGGTTAGATACAATTAAAACCTATCAGAAACAGAAAAATTTACCTTAAAAACTGAATTATCAATGTACCCAAACGATTAAATATTCCTTTTTTTTTCTTTTGTTCGGAAAAAAACATACTTAAAATTTTGATTTAATATTTGCGTACAACAAGTCATTTCATTGTTAAATATGAACTCATTCTACTATCGTTTTTAATGGCTTAAATCGTATGAGATACCTTTTTTTATCTGAATAAATTATTTTTAATTTAGTTTAGAATGTTTATATTCCAGAAATGTATTTCCAATCCTAGAATAGAAGTCTACCTAACTCTTGGACTGACCATCTTAGAAGTGGATAGGATCGGTAAAAGAAGGCGTTTGTTAAACAGTTGGTATCATTCCTCTAGAATATTGAGGTTAATTTAATATAGTCTGTTCAATTGGACCTGAACTAATAATCTGTGATCACTTACAAAACAGGAATTTTCTTGTATAAACTTTGTAATCAGTGAAATTAGAGAAATATTGTTTCCCCATTATTAATTATTCTCTAAATATTCTGCTGACCTAGTAGTTCAGTTTTCAGAAAGACTTAATTCTTTACGAAATATAAATTATTTTAATAATTCGTTTTTTATACAATCAATCACAAAGTTGCCATCCATATACTTGAAAGATATTAGCTATATGCTAAATATAGAAGATAGAGTTGGGCTTAATCTATATCTTATAAAAACCAAAGTAGATTTTTATATTAAAACTAAATGCTTTACAAAAATACAAATATTCATGAAACATTGTTATTTAATCAATAAAACATCCAGAACAAATAAAATATGGCAGTGACTTTTAGCGTTGAGCTAAATATGTATATTCAGGTCTATGAGTTGAAATTGGTTTCCATAAGATTTTACACAGGACTCATTGACAGGTTTTCACATATACCAAATTTAATCAAACTGCAAAATTGGTAGACCAAAAGCAGTAAACGATATTTATCTCTATGAAGGTTATCAGATTGTTTTACTCTCACGCTTGCGCTACTACTGATCGTTATAGATCATTTTCATTAATGAATGTTAATGTATTTGTGGTGTTTGAATGAACTAATGACTCCTTTGTACTTGTTGAATGTTTGATTTCGAATTCTAAATACAGTACATTCGTTAGTGCTTGTGTAGTACTTCTTGATTCAATTGCGTTATCCCTGGGATTCTTAGTTCATACTATAATTCAATTACTCCTAATTATCATATTGGCGTCGCGATGGGGCCTGTGATGGAACAGTTAGATATTCATTCAACTTCTGAAGCTTTTGAGGACTATTTGGAAAGGTTTGAAATCCGGAGCATGACCAAGAAAGATGATGAGGATATTAATATTGTGGCACATTTTCTCACATTCATTGGAAAAGAAGCATATGGCTTATTAAAAATTCTGCCTTCACCGGAAATGCCCATTTCTCTTCCTTATACAACTCTCAAGGAACTACTTCTAGACTATGCTAAGTATACAAATTTCGAATGCAGTCAGGAAGGAAGATTTCGTAAAATGATTAATCAGGATATCAAAAATTCCACTACATTACGTCACCCCATCCCAGTGTATACTCAAGGTTGTGCAGTTCACGAAGATGGGCACAAGTTTAGTCAATGTTTTTCTTGTGGCAAGTTCCACCCTTTTAATTCATGTAAATTTCGTAATTTTAAGTGCTTTAAATGTGGTGATGTCGGACATATTCAGTCAGTTTGTAATACTACTGTTCATCTTGCTGCAACTAATATTAAGTCTTGTGATTCTGA